AAAAAAAAAAAAAAAAAATAAAACAAATGGGTGGGGGGGGGGGGGGGACAGTGCATCCAAATGAGATGGGTCTTAAGAAATACACATTTCAAAACTTCTAATTTTTTTCTCTTCTCTCCAGAATAGAAGGTCTTAGAAGGTGGTAGGCCAGTGTAGTATAAAGGTTAGTTTTACAGTTCTGCATTCCTTGTGTATGATATGGAGGCATCCACCCAGATTTCCAAGAAAACATGGGACAGGAATTATAAGGTATCTCTACCAAGAGCTGAAAATTTAGGACTACATTTGGTTTAAGAGCTGATTTGGTAGCTCTTGCTGGCTTTTCTTTTACTGCATCATAACATAGAAGGATGATCCCAGAGGACTCAAGTCTTTAAGAACAAAAACATGTTACCGTATTGATTTAAAGCAAAAGAGGGTTAAAAACAAAGAAAAAGTAGAGTCCTGATGATGTCTCAATCTTATTACAGACAGTGCAAGATTTCACCTCCAAGAGGTGCCCTGAATGAAATTCTTTTCAGTTCAGCCCAAACATCAACCACTTCTGTTGCAGTTGCCAAGTTATTTATATACCACTATCTCCCACAGAGTATGCAACACCCAACACATTTTAGTGGCTATTAACACTGTGCCAGTCACCAGCTTAGTGGTGACACAATTGCCTATTTTGTTATCAATACCCTGTCTAAATGGAGGGGGGGCAGGGGGAAACTCCTCTGTGATTGTTAAAAAGTTCCATTAGGAAACTGGTGAAATGCAGTCACTGCCCACCCTCTTTCCCCCAACCAAATTCTGATGATTGTATTAAAAGAGCTGAAGGCTCTCTTGCGTGCAGCTTGCTGGTGGATGTCTCATCTGCAGCCCTTCCGATGGGAAGATGGAGGCCTGCAGGTCCACGTTGATGCAGAACAGCCCTAGCATCAGCTGGCGCTGGTATTCTTCCCATTTTGTCATAACGTCCGCCAGTGAGAGGCTGCTCCTTAGCCACTTTGGCAGTGCTTCCCCATAGGCAGTGCTCAAAGGGACAGGCAAACTCTGTGTTTTTCGGAGTTCAAGATGGTAGTACAGCCTGAGAGAGAGAGACAAAGAATTAAAGTTTGCCATGCTATTTTGGTAAACATTATTTAGCACATTTGTGTTTCCAGTGTGGACATAAAAATAAAAATGGGAGGGGGATGGAGAAGGAGAGAGAAAGAGGGAGAGAAAGATGTAATGCACATCCTACTGAAACTGCCCCTTAGCATCATGTAATGACACAAAAAAGTCAGCAGGGTGAGCTAAGGTTGCAGAGAGGTGGAAGTGAGCCATGGAATATTTTTCCTTGAAGACCTCTACTGACATCCTCTGGCTATCCTAGTCCTGCCTTCTTGGCCCATTAGGAGAAAATGCCACTTGAACTGCATTACCTTCAGAAGAAGCTTTAGGCTTCTAGAATCCTCAGATTCATGAGCATCAAACTTCTAAGTTTCACTGAGTCTGAGAAAGGGAGTCAGGTGTACAGGTAAGAATCCAATGAGCCCATAGGTGCCTCTGGGAAAGAGATTCTTCACTGATAAAGTGGATACCAATCTCCCAATAATGCTGTCAACCAATGACTTGACAATAATGGATGTCTCTAGCTGGAACTATGATCATTGCTTGTCAAGTGATAAACCTAACAGGAGTAGGGGAACTGTGCATATCCCCTGAATGGTACTGAACTACAACTTCTAGCATCTCTCACCATTGACCATGCTGTGTGGAGAACATGGGAGCTCTCATTCATAAGTATCTGGAGAGGACATGTTCCCAATGCTTGCAGTAATAACTACATTGCTCTTTCGTTATATACTGTGATCTATGTAAACATGGCCTTTGACAAGGAACAGGCATGAAAATAATGGGCTGAATTTTTTATTTTCTCACCCTTATACTTGGGAACCTCTTTGTATTATTCTTCAGTGATATATCTGAATAATCTGCTTTGAATAATCTGCTTGAAATGGTTATTTCATTTCATTTCAATCCAAAATGTTCCTCAAAATATAAACCTTTGACTTGTCACCTCCTATAACTGTAGGCTTGAGGAGTATCTTCAGTGTATCTTGGACAACAGGGTTCAACTTTGGCGACTTGAAGATGTGTGGACTTCAACTCCCAGAATGCTGGCTGGGGAATTCTGGGAG